TCCACTGAATTTTCCTTGAAAAAAGAAATTAAAAAAAAAAAAAAGAACGCCTGTATTACACTCACATAATAAAATCTGTCCCCAAATAGATTAAGCACAGTTTTTACAAAACATGGAAAAAGTTGAAAATGATCAAAGAAATCACAAAGGAAAAGTTGATGACTCTCATTATACATGAACACAAAAAGTCCATATATCAAAGTAACTCAAACAGAAGTAAAACTCTGCCATAAACTTAAAAATATTATGTCAAAACTGATGAACTAGGGGCCGGCACTGTGGTGCAGCAGGGCACTGGTTCAAGTCCCGGCTGTTCCACTTGCGATCCAGCTCTCTGCTATGGCCTGGGAAAGCAGTAGAAGATGGCCCAAGTGCTTGGGCCTCTGCACCAGCATAGGAGACCCGGAATAAGCTCCTGGCTCCTGGCTTCAGATTGGTGCAGCTCGGGCCACTGCGGCCATCTAGGGAGTGAACCAAAAGATGGAAGATCTCTCTCTCTCTCTGCCTCTGCCTCTCTGTGACTCTGCCTTTCAAGTAAATAAATAAATCTTTTTTTTAAAAAAACTGATCAACTATGACTTAATGTCTTGGTCTGTAGAGAAGAGCTATTTATGAGAAAGATATTAATAATTAAATAAAATGAGCAAAATATATAGATAACTCACAAAAGAAGAACTCAAATGACAAACATGAAAACTAAATTAGCAATATAAGTGTAATTTTGTAGAGGTCTGTAGAAGTTGAGAAACGTGAATAAAGAAGAGTTTAAATACTAAATGCTGACAAGGATGTGGTTGCTCAGGTACTCTAGACTGACTGGAATGGAAATCAGTAAAACTTTACCTGTGGCAAAAGACAATAAAATTTTCCTTCCATAATCTGAAGGAATCCCTATAAAATGTTATTATCAAATATTTCCTATTTTTTCAAAATTGCTTCATTGAAAAAAAAAGAATTGCAGCTGGAGGCTTTCAGTGACAAAGGACTTTTCTAAAGAATATTAGTGACATTTTCAGAAGGTTATATACCTAGATAGTAAACACATAATTCCATCAAATTTCTCTTACAAGTAATAAGGCCTTTCTTTTCCACCAGCAAACTCATTTTTGTTAGCACAAGCACACTTAAGAGAAATACAACAATCTCATTAAGACTTCTTCATTGGCATTCTCTTTATCATCTGTTGTTATGGTTAACAAAGCACAAAGACATGCAAACAAAGCAGCCCTGTGGCTGGAACCGCAGTTTTTCCTTTTGGTAAGAGAAAGCTCCTGACATTGGTTACCCCAATCCCAGAGTGCAAATGGACTCCCTATCCACATAGTTAACCCTAGGACAAAGGCCCAAGGGGGCTAGGAAAATTCTTCTACCCAGACCCAGGATTCCCTTCTGGAATCAGTATGTAAAGAAATAGCCAGAAGTAAAACAAAGACAAATCATTCAAGCTTCCTGGAACTTAATTTCTTTTTTCTTTTTTTTTCTTTTTTTTTTTGACAGGCAGAGTTAGAGAGAGAAAGACAGAGAGAAAGGTCTTCCTTTCCGTTGATTCACCCCCCATATGGCTGCTACAGCTGGCACGCTTCGCCGATCCAAAGCCAGGAGCCAGGTGCTTCTCCTGGTCTCCCATGGGGTGCAGTGCCCAAGCACTTGGGCCATCCTCCACTGCACTCCCGGGCCACAGCAGAGAGCTGCACTGGAAGAGGAGCAACTGGGAAAGAAACCAGCGCCCCAACCAGGACTAGAACCCGGGGTGCCGGCGCTGCAGGCAGAAGATTAGCCTAGTGAGCCACGGCGCCGGCCCTGGAACTTATTTTCTTCCAACTCAGAAAAATCAAACACTGATATCTAAATTTAAAAATTACAAATTAAAACATCTGATTATGGAATATATATATATGCATATAAAATTGTGGAAAATATATAAGCTTTCTATAGTTTACTTTTTTTTTCCCCAATGCTTGCTTGTAAAGTTTATTAACAACTGTTTTGTCCCAACACACAAAACAGTGCTTGAACCACAAAAAAAGTGTTCAAAGGAGACAGTTAAGAAAAACATGTCTTCCGCCAAGCCTATTTATGGTTCACTTTCTATTGGCTCTGAATGGGTCTCTGACTTCTCAGACAATGTCCTACATTCTCTGGGCTCTGACACATCCGCTGTGCATTTCCATATGTGATTACATGTGGGGAGCAGGGTCCGTCTCCCGCAACATGGCGGGGCGCCCGGGAGACAAATAAGTACTGAGACTGTGGACTGAAACTAACTCTAAGCATCTGATCTCCCACTATATGGCGCTGAGAGGGAGTAAACAAATCTTACACAGCTGCTGCGTCAATTAGCTGATTCCTGATCCAACCTCTGATTGGAGGAGAACAGCGTGCTCAGCACGCGGGTAGCAGAGCACGGATTGGTGGGAGAGGACTATAAAAGGGGGAGAGAGACAACATGCGGGGCCCCCTGAGAGAGTCGGTCGGAGAGCTCATTGGTGCCGCTCCTCTGCGAAAGCGGGGGGAGCGGCAGCAAATCCGGGAAGGACCGGGGAAAGAAAACAGCGTCCGGTGTCATTCCTCCGCGAGTGGGGGAGCGACAATTACAGACATAACCACTGCCATCCTTGAGGCTGGTGAAGCCTGGCCAGAAGGGAAACTTATTCTCACCTTTCTTTTCAAGGCACCCGGAGTATGACAGGTCTAGGAATACCCAGCACATCATCATTGGATCTGGTAAGGTCGTAGGTCTCATACAATGGGAGGACCTGGTAGAGCGTGGAAACCTGAAGATGGCGAGCCAGGGTTGTCAAGTATCACACCCACGTGCGAAATAAGCCGAGGCTCCTTTCCAGTATTTTCCTTCCCAGAAATATTCCTTTCCTTTTGCTGGAACCTAGATTGCACTGTTTCTGAAAACTAATATTTCAGGTGTGTGTACCTTATCTGTACTGTGTACTGGTGGATGGCAATCTTCAAGGGACTAACTTAAGAATTAAACCCTATTTTTCACCTTTCGGTTATATTTAAAATGCCACAATCCAATCCGCAGAAGGCCCTCTGAAGAACTGGTCCTAGCTGAGCCACTCAAAGGCTAGAAACTACTCTGCTGCAGATGATGGTTAATAGGGTCTGCCAGCTGGGAGGAGAGGATATGTAAAACAGTTTCCCAGAAACACTCTTTCTCCAAGCAGGGAGGGAAAGAAAGAGAGGTCAGGGCAGTAAGTTGAAAGTATTCACCGGGGACACCTCTGGACAAGCTAAATGTTTTTTTTGTCAGTGCATGATGGGAACAGTTGTGTGGAACTTAAACCATTTTGATTCCAGAACCACGCATCCTTTCGCAGTCCCTTTTAGGTAACACCCTTCAGTAAAGTCAGGCACAGTTGGGTGATGAGGCACGAGGGCCCTTTGTAGGAGTCTGTGTGGAAGGAAGGCGCTGGCCTGAAGGCCCCAAATTTATCAATTTTAATTTCAGAGGCAGAGACAGAGAGAGAACGTGAGTTCCTATCCACTGGTTCTCTCTCCAGATGCCTGAAGTGGCTGGGGCCGGGCAAGGCCAAAGCCAGGAATTCAGTCCAGATTGTCCATGTTTTTGCCAGAAACTCAATTACTTAGCTGAAACTGCCTCCCAGGGTTTGCATGAGCAGGAGCCAGAACTTAGAATGCAACCAATGTAGTCCATGTGGGATGTGGGTACTTAACCAATGTCTTAACCGCTGGGCTAAACAACCAGCCCAGAAAGCGTATTTTTTTTTAATCTTTTTTTTTTTTTTTTTTGAAAGGCAGAGTTAGACAGTGAGAGAGAGAGACAGAGAGAAAGGTCTTCCTTCTGTTGGTTCACCCCGCAATGGCCGCTACAGCCAGCGTGCTGTGGCTGGCACACCACGCCGATCCAAAGCCAGGAGTCAGGTGCTTCTCCTGGTCTCCCATGTGGGTGCAGGGCCCAAGCACTTGGGCCATCCTCCACTGTACTCCCGGGCCACAGCAGAGAGCTGGACTGGAAGAGGGGCAACCAGGACAGAATCCCGTGCCCCAACCAGGACTAGAACCGGTGTGCCGGCGCCGCAAGGCGGAGGATTAGCCTAGTGAGCGCCGGCTAAGAAAGTGAATTTTTAACAGCTGCACCAGAACTTCTGAATCCAGTGTGCAAAGGCACTGCTGAGGATGAGTTACGGGTGTGCAGAGCTACTGCTGGCGTTCAGAAAACGATACCTGAAAAGACTGGCACTGTGACCCAATGACAGGCTTCAGAACCAACCTCAGAATCAAGATTTCTCTGACCTTCCCTTGTTTACCTTCCTCCCAGCACAGGGAGAGGCTTTCTGTGAAATTCCTTATCTGTCTGAAGTCTGAGCCCAAAAGGAAGAAAACAATTCCCTCTGGTCCCTTGCCTGAGCTTTTCATCAACTAAACGTATCACCGAAGTCTGTCAACACACCTGGCAATACCTTCCCCACACATTATTGTTCTCTACTTTCATCCTATAATTTACAAACACTGTCTATTCTGTGGGCCATTGTATGTTCTCCAAACCCTTCAAAACCATTTCCTGCCCCCATGACATTCTCTGTTCTCCCGTGCCTACAGAGAAAGTGGTACACAAACATCTGGATAATGAGCCTAACCCAGTGGCTACCTACACTCCTGCAATTTTCCCCAGAGCATATTAATAAAGTTGTATGCCTTTTCTCCTATTTGATCATTGTCAGTTTATTCCAGCGAACCTTCAGAGGGTGCAGGGGAAGTCTGCTCTGTGCCTACAGGTATTGAGGTGCTCAGGGAGGCCCAAGGGCTCAGAAATCTCCAACTGTATGATGCCTCTTGCCTTCACCTCTGTGTATCATGAGCATGAGCAATGCCTACATGTGTCAAGTGGGCAAGTTGAGCAGTTCTGCACTAAGGGCTTCTGCCTTCCATCTCTGGAGATAGACATCCAGACCTCCTTCCTTACTCCACTTTGGCCAGGATTTCATAACATCTCCTTGTAGATGGACTGGAGGGGGCCTTACCTTTTCTGTCCCTTGGAGTCTCTGGTCCTAGAGAGCCTTGGCCCTGCAGTTGCCCGGAGTCCACCTCGCCGAAACTCTGCCATCCCTGGTGCATCAGTGTTGAAATTTCCTGACTGAGTTCTTCGGATTCTGAGTGGAGAGAAATCCACAGAGACTGTGAGGGAATGGATGCAGGGCACCCCTTCCTGCGAAGGGCTTTGAGGGCCAGACTTTGGGCCCCAGGTGCCCACTGCCTCCCTAGAGGTCAAGGATCACAACCTCTAACAGTTCTTCCATCAGACTCAAGCCTCAATTCTAATCCTGCCTCTGACAGGTAGGCACTCCCATGAGGGCCAAAATCAAAGTCTGTACCTGGTAAGAGGCCCTACTTTCTGCCTCATTTCACAGACTAGATCGGTTGGTCCAGCAAGTAGTCAGTTTTCTGTATTCAAAGATTTCTTAATCACAGATTGACCCTTAAGAAGGAAGAATCCAGACTCATCCTCAAGTCCATGTAAGGTAAGCAAGAATGTGCTTAGAGTATGTGGGATGAGTTCATTCCTATAATAAATAATATGTAAGACAACTGGTTATATTTAGTGGGTATCTTTCATACTTGTTGACCCTGAACAATAACTCAAAATATTCTCTTTAAACATGACTGCTCTGTTTTTACTGTTGTTTCTATGTCTGGTGGACTAGGGGCTTACAAAGACTCTTTACCCAGTCAAGAAAATTAATTCCAGACATATAATTAAGATCATCACCACCAACTTACTTTCCCCAGAATTTCTTGATGCCTTTGGGGCTCCGTTTGCCATCTGGTGTCAGGGGAGACTGGGGTCCTGACTCAGTGCCCGATGATGTGGATGAGAGGTCATTGGCCATGGCAGTGTCATCCCAACCACTTTCTGTGTCTCCTGAGGTTGAAAGGATGCAATGATATGTGAATGAGAGTAATGGACATGGCCTTAGGGACCCTTCTCCCCCAGGCCTGGGCCATCCTTCAGTGGGAGTCCAGAAGAATCTGCCCAGTTCTGCCTTCAGGGCACAATTTCACACCAAGATCCCACAGACCACCAGGGACTCAGGCACACTTCAGGTTTTCTCTCTGAGGAGTTAGTGAGCTCAATATTTCAAAACTGGGTCAGCTGATGTCTTCAAATTCTAAGGGCTTGGAATCCAAGTACTTGTGGATGATTCCAACAAGGAGCTCACTTTCTTTTCTCAGAGAGAGATGCAGGAATGCAGGCGGGAGGGGACCAAGTGTTAGGGTAGGGAAACAAAGGCATTCTCACTCTCCACCTCACCTGGTACAGGTACAGTACCTAATACGGGGGCACTGGCACTCCTGCCACGATCTCCAGCCAACCAAGAAGCAGAGAAGCCACATGAAGGAACAAGAGAGGCCAAAGTCCAGCCCAACAGTTATGGGGGAAGCAAAGAAATAAACAAAAGAGAATCATCGAGCAAGAGAGAACAACTCAAACAGAAAGGAAAATAATCCCACGAAGAAGGATGCGTAAGTGGTCACTGAGCTTGGCCCAAAGGGTCAAGTGTACTGAGAGGAGGCCTCATGTGAGGGGACCAAAAGCTCTTGGTGTTACTTTGTGGCAGGCTGAGGTGTCCACATACAGGGAGAGAGAGAGGAAAAAGATGAACCCACTTGGCTATACGCACTTCTTATGTGGGTGCCAGGGTTCACTCAGCTCAGACTAGAATGAGACAAAGCTGTGAGTCCAGTCCAAGTGTCACTGGTCACACTCATTCAATAGTTTATCTGGAGCTTTTGTAGCCAAAGGCAGACTTGGCCTTTATGAAGTTCCTGGGCTGGCCCAGGGAACAGCTTAGGCTGAGGAGTCAGGGGAAGGAGAACTCTTCTCAGACCAGAACATTCTCTTTTGAGCCCTGCTGAATTTGCTGCTGCTGCTGCTGCTGTTGGGGGAAAGACAATCTATTCTGAAAACGATGAAAAGCTGTAAAGACCTCTGTGGTTTCAGGTCCCCATCACCAAAAGGATACCTGTGGCCTTACATCCTTGCTCACTGGCCACTGACGCCTTTTGCCTAAGGAAATGCTCTCACTTGGAAGAGCGCATACTATCATCCTACTGGGAATAGGGAGGCTGTAGAGAAGACAGAGACAGAAGAGAGAGATCAGAACAACAGAGGGAGGAGGAGACACGGGAAGGGCGGAAAGGGGTGTTCTAAGAGGGAGGGAAAAGAGGAACCCTGGGAAAGGCAGGCAGGGGTTCAAGAGAGGTAGAACAGAAGATGGGAATTAGAGTGGAGTAACCGCAGCTGGAAACAGGATACGGTCACAGCTTGGTTTTCTGGGACGCTGAAGTGTTTACCTTAGAAAATAGCTTTCCCAGATACACAGCCTCTAGAAGTAGGACCACCCTGAAGTCTAACTTGTCCCAGCTCCCACCCTCTTTGTTCTCCAGCTGTGGGCCGTGGCAGTAGGTACTAGGATTTCACACAATGATTGGAAATATCAAGGCTGCTGCTCCAGAGGCCACCGGCCCAGGGGCTGGACACTCACTCAGCCGCGGCAGGCTGCTCCCTGCAGCGTCAGGCTGGGAAGCGGTGGAAATAGATTTGGTAGCGTCTCCATTGGGTGTGGCTCCTGAAAGCTTCCCAGGTAACGTTGGGTATTTGTGGTCTGCCTGAAGTGGGCTGTCCTGGTGGGAGAGGAGAGACAGAGAGAGAGTGAGAGTTGGCTGCATTAATCCTCAGTCTCAGACTGAAACCCAGTTAGGAAATCTTTGGATACACGAGCCATTTGCACTTAGGTTGATTCACAGATCTTTCAAAGATCATTTAGGGCAGGCGAGGGGACCAGAGTTCTGAGAAATGAAGAGACTTGCCCCAAGGCCACAGACTGAGACAGGGACAGAGTTAAGCCCAAATCCAGGGCTGACTACACTTGCCTCTAAGCAGGAAGTAGAGGTGTCTTGCAAAGCGGTACAAGAAAAAGTTCACAGAAAATGTATATTATTAAAAAAGCCATGGATGAGTTTTAAACAAAAATGTTTGCACCAAATAAACACACCTTAATTCCATTTTCCACAAACTTTTTTGAAGCACCCTTACCTATATGTGTATATACACACATGCACAATACCATCAGAGAAGACTAGGTCAGTCTGGTCTGAGTTTCCCTGCTCTCCAGACTGGTATTTCAGGCCAGGGCAGCTTTCTGCAGGGGTTGGCCAAAGGCATAAATTGTATGGCCCTCATCTAAACAAAGGCTACGCTACATCACAAGGATTAGAGTGTACATTTGAAGCAGCAGAGACAATGTCTGTATTGTGTTAACAGTTTTTCTAGAAAACATAATGTTAAAGCAAACCAAGAAAGCACGTACTTGGGAGAGATAACAACAGGAAGTGGGTTACAGAGCTGCATGCCAGGGCCAGTGCTGTGGTATAACAGGTAAAGCCACCGTCTGCAGCACCAGCATCTCATATGGATATGGATTCCAGTTCTGGCTGTTCTACTTCTGATCCAGCTCCCTGTTAATGTGCTTGGGAAAGCAGCAGAAGATGGCCCAAGCACTTGGGCCTCTGCACCCACATGGGAGACCTAGAAGAAGCTCCCGGCTTTGGACTGGCCCAGTTCCAGCCATTGTGGCCATTTGGGGAATGAACCAGTAGATGGTGAACCTCTGTGTCTCTCCCTCCCTGTCTCTCTCTAACTCTGCCTTTCAAATGAACAAATAAATCTTTTTTTAAAAAGATTTTATTTATTTATTTGAGAGGTAGAGTTACAGTCAGACAGAGGGAGACAGAGAGAAAGGTTTTCATCTGCCGGTTTGCTCTCCAAATGGCCACAATGGATGGAGGTAGGCCGATCCAAAACCAGGAGCATGGAGCTTCTTCCGGGTCTCCTACGCAGGTACAAGGGCCCAAGCACTTGGGCCATCTTCTACTGGTTTCCCAGGCCATAGCAGAGAGATGGATTGGAAGAAGAGCAGCCAGGACTAGAAGTGGCACAAATGTAGGATGCTGGCGTGCTACAGCACTGGCCCCTAAATAAATAAATCTTATTAAAAAAAAAAAAAAAGCTACTTTCTAATGAGAATTCCCTAAGGAACTTAGGATAATCATCTGCATGAGATACAGTTTTAATGCTATAGACCCTTTACTTGGACCTTGGCCATAAAAGGGTCCTAAATGAACAAGCTGATTGGTAAAAGCAGCATTTAATCGGTCAAGAAGCATATAATGGTCCCTAAATTTGCAAACCTGAGGGGAAAACATTGTGAGAATGAGAATAAAAGAAAAGAGAATTTGAAGCAGTTTCACCAGAAAAGCAGTAAGAAGACATATTTCAAAACTGGCAAGTCAGAACATGAATGGAAGACTTGCCATGACTGAGACAGGTTTTGAAATTTCACTTAGCTAAGGGTTAAATGTCTAAAACACTTCTGAATTCAGCTTAGCTTATAAATGAAAGTCTTAGAAACCAAAATTCAGTTCATTCATTGAATATTAAACATAACCCCATACAAATAATTTCATAAAGGAGAGATATGAGGAGAGATGAAATTACTAAATAATTCCAAAAGAACTGACCAGTGACATAGAAGTAATTAGAATTTTAAAGGATGAAGACTCTGAGATTTTCAAGTTCATGATGACCCAAGAGGTAGATTTTGGACATGATCAAACATATGGTCAATTGGCCGGCGCCGCGGCTCACTAGGCTAATCCTCCACTGGCGGCGCTGGTACTCCGGGTTCTAGTCCCAGCTGGGGCTCCAGTTCTGTTCCGGTTGCTCCTCTTCCAGTCCAGCTCTCTGCTGTAGCCCGGGAAAGCAGTGGAAGATGGCCCAAGTGCTTGGGCCCTGCACCCACATGGGAGACCAGGAGGAAGCACCTGGCTCCTGGCTTCGGGCCGGCGCAGTGCGCTGGCCGTAGCAGCCATTTGGGGGTGAACCAACAGAAAAAGGAAGACCTTTCTCTCTGTCTCTCTCTTTCTCACTGTCTAACTCTGCCTGTCAAAAACAAAAACAAAAACATATGGTCAAAACCAATATTTCCAGATGCTAAGCCCTGCACTGGATGCTCATATTTACCTGGGGCACTTGCAGAACCAACATCAATTTCAGTTTCCTCCCCAGTCCCACGATCAGTCTCTCTGGATGCACAGCCCAGAAGTCTGAAGTCTGATTTTTTTTTTTTCAGTTGTATGATTTATTCAATCATTCATTTGAAAGTCAGAGAGAGAGAGAACGATAGGAATGAAATAACTTATATTTGCTGGTTCACTCCCCAAAGGCCCATAACAGCCAGGGCTGGGCCAGGCCCAAGCCAGGAGCCCAGAACTCCATCTGAGTTTCCCATGTGGGTGGTGAGGATCCAAGTACTTGAGCCATCATCTGCCGCCTTTCCAGGGACATTGGAAGGAAGCTGGATGAAAAGTGGGAAGCCAGAACTGCAATCAGCACTCTGTGATTTGGGACGTAGAACCCTAAGCGGTGGCTTAAACCTACTGTGCCACAATGCGCATCTACAGGAATCTGTATTTTTAACAAGCATCCTAGGTTATTATGACATACAGGCAGATGTTGGAAACACTGGCCATGGGAAGATCTTGTTCAAAAAGTTTAGAGAATGAAAGTTCTCCAAGTTCTGTATTACACAGGAGATGCAGGAGGGAGAAGGGTTCTCATGAACACATTTCTGGTTGTGTCATCACACAGCTCTCCCAACACAGAGCAGAGACAGTCAAAAAACCTGGTGTAGGCCACCTGGGGAGCTCCCACGGGAGCTGAGATGCAAAGAGAATACGCACCTAACACGGGATGGGGTTCAGACCTGCTCAGTGAAAGGAAACAAGGGTGTCCGAAAGGCCTCTCTGAGCTCCGTTCAGGCCAAGAGGGGGTAGGGGAGAAGCTGGGAAGAACTCACTCACTGCTGGAGAAAGTAGTATATTGTCAAGCATGACATGGAGGAAACCAGAGTCCTCAAACACAGTCTTGTCTCTCCTGTAACTCTGGCTATGGGGAACAGATATGGCAGCCATGGGAGCAGCGCACACCTGATCATCCAGCTGCTGTAAACTAGAAGAGAGCAGCCTGCCAGAGTGGAACAAGACCAGGCTTAGAGTCAGACATGGGTAAGGCTCTGTAGGCTCTCAGAACCTCTGCTTTATCATTTCTGAACAGGGAACAACAATCTCTGCCCCAGGACTGCCATGAAATAACCTATTCACAGAGCCTGATGCATAGTGGGCTGTGTGTGAACAGAATCACAGAAAATATCAGTCTTGGGTCCTAGAGTTACAGCAATATGGAGGAGCAGTGCCTAGATCAAGGAAAGTACAAGTTAGACTACATCTTGACGATCACACTCAAGTCTGGCCCAGAGTACAACCTAAAGAATGCACTGAGAAGCTGGTGCTGATCCTGAGCTGACCAAATCAGCGCTCTGAAGACTGTGACCCATACACATAAGGGGATGTGCAGACCAGAGAACAGAGCACTCAAAGGGAGCTCAAGGGAATTAAAGTGCAGAGCAGTCAGGACTAGGGGAGACAGACTGACTCCAAAGGCTCCACAGAGAGAGCCAGGATCAGTGGATACACACTCTAGGGAGCACAGGGGACATGTCTAATAGAACTGGAAAAGAATCCAAGGGTGTCCTACAGGCTCTGGGTCACAGAAGGCAAAGGTCAGACCTCAAGGTGAGGGGATGCGGCAGATAGATTCTTGTATCTGTGGGACAGTTCTGGGGAGCACGGTGGTATATGTGCATGTGAGTAGAGGAGTGGCCACATTCAAGGAGTTGAGGTTGCACGAGATTGTGATTATAGTCAAAGCCATAAAAAAAATCAGTCTTTTAACCTGAAATTTTTTTCTTCATACACAGAACCACATCACTGTATTCTTTGGTAATCAAATCAACATCTTAAGCTCGAGCCTGTGAGCTGGCTGTGCTTGCAAAGAAGCAGGAGTCACTTACAGATGAACTTTAGAAACAATATGCATCGGACAGGGTGGGGGGACTGCTGGGTGAAGGATGGAACAGAGCAGCCTCCACAGGAAGCTGAACTTTCAGTTCACCAGGGGACCTTTCAGTTTAACTTCAGGCTCCAGGGAATGTGTGTTCAGAGCACCTGGACAGGAAGGCAGACAGAGGACTTTTGCTCTATAATCCAGATAGCTTAATGAATAGCTGCTCCAATGAAACACCGACTACCATGAATATGGAAGTGCAGAGAAGCCTCTTCTATAGGTGTGGAGTACAAGAAAGACTTTCCTCTTAAACAGAGTTGCACAGGCAGAGATGCTCCATTCTATCATATTAATATGAAATCAAAAAATGGCCCTTGGGCAAGGCCAGCGCTGTGGCTCATTTGGCTAATCCTCCACCTGCGGCACCAGAACCCCGGGTTCTAGTCCTGGTTGGGGCACTGGATTCTATCTTGGTTGCTCCTCCTCCAGTCCAGCTCTGATGTGGCCCGGGAAGGCAGCAGAGGATGGCCCAAGTGCTTCGGCCCTGCACCCACATGGGAGACCAGGAGGAAGCACCTGGCTCCTGGCTTCGGATCAGCACAGCGCGCCGGCCATAGCAGCCATTTGGGGGGTGAACCAATGGAAGGAAGACCTTTCTCTCGGTCTCTCTCTAACTCTGCCTGTCAAAAAAAAAAAAAAAAAAAAAAAGACTCTCGGGCAAATGTCCAACTGCTGTGAGACCCTATGTCTCACATGGGTGGCAGAGGACACAGAAGGGACATGTCATTGGCCTCATAATACATTTCCCGTAAAATGCTACCAATTGTGTTTGGGTGTGACTGAAATTCTGCTAATTATATAAGACAGTTCATCATGAGCTCGACATTTGTACAAGAACCTGGAAACTTAGTCCACTTCCACAACAGGCTTCCTGGGAGAAAATCAGTTCTAATGGAATTTTTTTTTTTTTTTTTTTTGGACTGGCAGAGTTAGACAGAGAGAGAGACAGAGAGAAAGGTCTTCCTTCCATTGGTTCACCCCCCAAATGGTTGCTACAGCCGGCGCACTGCGCCAACCCAAAGCCAGGAGCCAGGTGCTTCCTCCTGGTCTCCCATGTGGGTGCAGGGTCCAAGCACTTGGGCATCCTCCACTGCCTTCCCGGGCCACAGCAGAGAGCTGGAGTGGAAGAGGAGCAACCGGGACTAGAAGCCGGGGTATTGGCGCCGCAGGCCGAGGATTAGCCATGGCGCCGGCCTCTAATGGAATTTTTTACAACATGACTTGTTCATTAGAGGGAGACTGAGTGTACTCTGTGTTTTGTAAGCATGACACATCAGTGCAAAAAGGACGAGCGCTGTCACAACCCTCTAATTTTGTGTTGAGGTCATAACATCCTCCTTTCCAGTAATTAAATGTAGACTGCTTTGTTAAAGATTAATTTTTCTGCACTTACAAAATGGAGGTGATAATAATAAATCCTATCCTACATATAATGGTGATAAAAGCACATTATACAGCTGGGTGACATAAAAATAAAATGAGGAATAAGGTTGTATGTTTCCTCTTGCCTTCTTAGACTTGTGATTAACATATTCTAAAGTTACAAAAGTTGCATCTTGCTAAATTAAAACACTCTAGAAAACAATACAACCATAAATAAGTGATGGGGACATGAATTTAATGTACCTTGGATCCTGCCACCAGGGAGAGTTGGTTCCCATCGACACTCTATGGAGTGATAAGAAATGGTTTCAGTGATGTGGAGATAAAGAAACCTGTGTTAGTCACAAACAACATCTACCCAGGACCACCAGCCTGCTTCAAACCTCATCTTCATGTCAGAAAATCCCCATTCATGGGAAGAAACACAAGTCCTTTTCCAATCCCAGGGACAGATGTCCTGGGCAGTTGCCAGCAACGTGACCAGGGGGAGCAAGAGGCACATGATCATGGGAACAAAGACACTGAATGAGTCTGTGGCTCCTGACTCGAGCTTATGTAGTTCTGGCTGGCACGCTGCTGGAGACCAGGGGAGGGTAGGCAGCATGGGATCACTGAAGGATTTCTATCAGGGCAGGATTCCGTAGTGTCTCATGACAGCTCAACAGCCTTTGACCCTTCCTTTCTGCATGGAGTCCACCCACATGATCAAGGGCTACCCTCATATAAGAAGCCACAGAGCCCTTCTGTCTCTCCAGACTCTTAAAACAACTCCCAGTCCAATATTATAAACTAATCCAGACCTTAATCCTGGGGTCATTTCCTTTACCCACATTACTTCCTCATTCCAAACCTCTGCAATGCCTCCAAGGGCCCTGGAGAAGTAGGATAAGTATTTAAGATCTCTTTGGGTGTGATCTGATGCATGGCTCTTTGTCTCCTGATCCCCACCATTTCCTAAAACCTGCCTGTATCCCTGCCACTTCCCCATGCCTTGGCCTATCTTAACTTCTCTCATGAACTCCAGGCAGCCATGCCTCTACAACGTCTTGAGCCAGAGCTGCCTGGTTTTTTCAAAAATGTTCATGTGAGTGCTGTCTCCCCAGAAACCTTATACAAGCCTCACAAAGTAGGGACCAAAATCTTATCTGCATATTCCAACATTGTGCTGGGCCTAAAGAAGTCAGTCAGTCATCCTAACAGATAGATATATGAGCTGACCTTATCCACAGATTCACTTCTCAAGTCTTCTAGGCTACAGGACAGTTTTCTCTGAGCCCTGGAGAAACCCAAAAGAAAATAAAGAAATAGTTACTAAAGAAGGAGGTACATGGGATCATTCACATTGATGACATTTCAAATGCTTAACCAATAGTTTTTCTTAGGTTTAGGGACAAGGTCAGGAAAAACATCACCCTCTCACAACAGCCATTCTGTGTAAGATGAGACCACTCTGACAATGTATTGGTGAGGCCATGTGGACATCACTTAAATATCAATAACATGTCCTTGGCATTGCTCAGAAAGCTAAGTATACTTAATTCTGTTGCATAATGGGTGGTGACTATTAAATAGTTATAAAAAAGACTATCTCTTCAGAGTTTTTTTAAAAAAAAAAAAAAGGAAAAGCAATGATACTGGCTTGTGTGTGTCTAAGAACTATCCAGGGAAAATGGAGCTTAGAATGGAGATGAGCATATAAGTCAACCATAGCTCCAAAGCAGCACTTGCTAGGATCCTCCAACCCTCTGCTCTGGCTCTGCACGCCCACGGGAATTCTGCTTACATGGGCGTCGTCATTTTGCAGAGAAGGATGCCAAATTGGGGCGGGGGGGGTGTGCAGAGAAGGGGCAAGGGTCACCTTGTAACAAGTCTCCTTGGCCATCATAGTTCTCAGTTTATGTGAACTTCTGTTCATAAATCAGTCTCATGGGTCGGGTCAGCGTGAGTCCCTCAGTGTTGACTTCCCCTGAGTGAACTCATAAACCAAATTTCTTATTGTGCAAAACTAATGACTGGCCAGTCACCCTCTGCCATTGCCATTGTTCTCTGAGGAACAACCACTCTCAGGGAAACGGGCTCTACGAGTCAGCACCATTTTGATGAGACTTCTGTCATGCCTGTGGCCATCTTCCCCAGACACCTTGGCTGAGAGAGCCTATTGGTGGTGGTGAAATCTCCATAGCTTCCTGACATAGGTCACAACTTGGAAACACATTTCAAGGAGGTGACATACTAACTGGAAATGGGTTCAGTTAGAGGGAACCAGATAGGTTGCAGTGAAGTGATCCCATAAGCCCGTCCATTAAGTTCAGTGCTTTGTGCAGCATCCCCAAAGCAACTGGACTCACTTCTCTGGGAGGAGACTTGATCCTCCCTAGAAAGCCTGGGTGGTCAAATGTCTAGATTTACTCTGGGAGTGGGAAGGACAGTGCCAAGGGACTGATGGAAAATACAGACACATATCACAGGATGCTCTCAGCTCCAGAGAGCCACTCAGGGGCGGGTTGCGGGGAGGCATGAATGAGTTTGCAAGCCTCCAGTCCTTTGAGGCTCCAACCCCTTTCCCTGGCCAGTTTTTTCTCAGTGACAATGCTCCAGACCTTCATCCTGTGGGAAGGGAAGTACCTGTGCAGCCAGGAGAGAGACCTGGTTGGTGACTATGAAAGGGCAGGCGGGGACAGGGTGCCTGTGCTCATCCTGCGTGGCCAATATCTACTTCAGGAGTCCCCAGAAGGAGCCTAAGAACACAGAGGCTCCAGAGAAATGCCCAGACCTCCTACCTGGTTTCCAGTGATTTCTGTGGAAGTGGAGGAGGCCCCACTGCAGGGGAGCTACATCTTGGAGGTATCTGCACCAGAAACAGAAATGTCACCATGGAGTAAAGTTACTGTTTGGGAAGTATCTATCACCCTTTCCCCTTCTTTGGAAAATTCCTTTGGGGAGCCACATTCTGTCCCAGGGTGGATACATCAATATTGGCACTTGGATCTTTCAAGATGCCAAGGGGTAGGCATATCATTCCAGCTAATTCCGCTTCTTCCTGGGCCCCAAACCTTAGACAAGGTTCATATCCTAGCAATACAGTCCTGAGACCGAGGTTCCTGGGCTTTTGCTGCTCCTGCCCTTTCTAAACATAGTTCTTTTGTTTTTCCTTTTATTCCATGAGTCCCTGAATACCCTCCCCAAAACATTCCCTTTTGGCTTAGGTTACACAGTCAATGTCTATTGTTTGCATTCAGAGAATCCTTACTGATAAAAGTCACTCAACAAACAAGAGCAACATCAACTGCCTGCCAGGCCCTACACTAGGTGTGGAACAAGCACTCCCCACTGCTGGAAGTTAGATAAGCAAACAGGATAAAACAAATAATGCAACATGTCCTTAATGGCACTAACACTTAAACATAATATAGGAATAGAGGGAAGGGGCTTCCTCCCTCTCCTCACTCATGGGAAGGTTGTGGAGGCCATTAGAAGAGAGAAGACTTGAGATGAATTTTGAGAAATGAGAATGGCCTCACCAAGAAGGCAAGAAAGAAAAGCGCAGCCCTAGTGGAGCCAGCATGAACAGCAGTTATTCAAAGCACACAGGGCTATGTCTTCAGTGTTCTGCTGACCACAATGACTGCTTCCTCACAGCCCAGGATCTTGTTAATATACTATAGAAAGAACACTGGCAATATAACATAGTTATTAAAAGCCTGGGCTTTGTGGTCAGATAGCCCTAGGTCCAAGTCCAAGTTCTGCCATCTACTTACTGTATGGTCTTGGGTAAATTATATACCTCTCTGAACCTCACAAGGACCCAAGTGGGGTGTCATTAGGAGAATAAGAGGTGAGCCACATAGAGTGCTCACTGCAGTGACCACACAAAAGTAGTAAGCAACGTTTGGTTCCTGCTATTTTGTAATCGCCAGCAACCTGGGGTACTTGTTCTGATTTGTAATTAGGTCACTGGATGACATATTTGCTCCTCTCTTAATTAAAATGCTTTGAGCTATAGCTAAATTCTTTTTCTGTTTGACCATTCGGCATATTTACAAATCTTTTTACAAGCTGACCATAAGCTGAAGCCCTTCCTCTACCTGAGATCTGGATCTATTAGCTTGTTTGCCTATTGTGAGATTCATACAATAAGAGTCGATTTTACATAAACAAACAAAAGAAAGAAAAGTTCTATGTTGGTTATCAAGACTGCAAGAGGATATGTGTAAAGTAGAGATGTCTCACTTTAGGAGTTAATTATCTCTCTATATGAGCAAGATGCGTGGTTAAGTCAACAAATATGTGTTACATCCTACAGAGGAGGAGGCATTAATGCAAACCATAAAGAAATGGTGGTAAACAAAACAAATGCTACCATTGGTCTAGATTTACATTCCATAGAAAAGAGACAAAAATAAACAACCTGATTCGAAAGGAAAATTACAATGCTTGACCATTCCACCATCTATCATGCTGCTCCAAGCTAGAGTACAGGCCTGAGTCCTGGTCCCTCCCCTCATTTTTCTCCCCAGGGCTTGGAACCACTCCCTTGACTTAATTATTCACTGGTCAAGATGTGTCCCTGACAGATGTCTGACTAGATCTTCCCCTCACCTCAAGACAAGCTCTGACGGCTGCTGAAACCCTACATTATGGATGGAAACAGGTACCTCTTGTTTAAATAATTCTTCAGGGTCTTTATTTGAGGTGTTCCATTTTCTGAAGCTTCCCTCCAGATCTTCTTCATTGATGGAGAGAGTTCTCTCTGAGGGTCCTGGAAGCATTAATGCAGATGAGGTGGATCATTATTGTGTGAAAGATTCAGAAACCATAGTTGTCCAACAAAATCCCAACATTGTTTCTCCTTCATTAAGAAAGACCAAGAAATACACAGAGGGACATCAAGAGTTTAATTCATTAAATGCTTGAGGGCAGCTGAGCAAGGCCTGTTATGAGAGTCACTTCAAGGTCAACACTCACCTATGAAACTAAGGCAAGGCCTCTGGCCACAGGCAATTAGGTCCTAATAGTGACTTGACCCAAGATCCCAAAGGATTAGAGAAAAGAGGGCTGGGATGTGTATGTGGCAGTGGGCAGAGGTCCTGGGCACAGACTAGTCAACCACAACCCTGCAGAGGCTTGGTTTCTTCCCATGAAGAGGCAAAAGCTCAGCCAGAATCAAAAGTTCCTGAAGAATCCCTAACTAACAAAGCAGCCCTCTTCTGTGAAATAGCTGCTTCTGCAGGATCTGCAATGGGATCCCAGGTCAAAAGCTTGAACACCAAGGTGCACAGCCTGGTGTACATACCATGGTATCACAAGAACACAGATGGTGCCTACATATCGCATTTAGTCGAGGCAGAACATACAAAGCACAACAGCTATCCATGTCTTATGACATTCTGTGGGAACCCAGATACACAGAGACTCAAGCAGGGGTCCCAGAATGTCATCTGAGCTGCTGAAGATTTAGATTTTCTAGGAGGGGTCAGTGCGGTGCTGTAGAGGGTTAAGCCGACATCCCACATGGATGCCAGTGTGAATCCTGACTGCTTCACTTCCAATCCAGCTCCCGGCTAATGGCCTGGGAAAGCAGTGGAAGATCACGTAAGTGCTTAGGCCCCTACAGCCATGTGGGAGACCCTGAAGAAGCTCCTGGCTCCTGGCTCCTGGCTCCGGTCTGGCCCAGCCTTGGCTGTTGGTGAACCAGCAGAAGGCAGGCTTCTCTTTCTTTGCCTCTACCATTCTTACTCTCTAACTCCACTTTTCAGTAAATAAATAAATCTTTTTTTAAGATCATTGAAATTCTAAAAAAAAAAAAAAAAAAAAAGGTTCTCTGAGAGAACAAACTCTATCCCCCCACTGAGAGTTCTGAGTAGATTTTTGATCTGAGTAGATTTTTGATTTTACTTGCTGTCTGTAAGGGATATCCTGGAAGTTACAATAGAGACTCCCCCTCCCCCAAGGGGATGAAATTGTGACCACCACAAGGGGATGAAATTGAAAGTTCTATTTTCAGGGTGATACAGATAGTCCCTGGAAGTTCTGAGCTCACTACCACTTGACAAAACTTCTGGAAATCAACAGTGGCCAATTTCCCACCATCCATGGATAGTGCAAACAATCTCGAGTAGGGGATCTTCTGCCAATGGAGGTAAAGAACTTTCTCACAGGACTGCCCTTAGATTTAACACAGTAACACAGTAGATAGACTATGTTTGGGAGAGAATGGTAGGACTGCCTTTTGTCTTACCTTGAGTTGCCATCACAATCTCCTTCACCCTCCGGTACTGGTTTAACAGCCCAGTGAGCTCTTCTATCCGACGGTCCTATCATGGTGTGAGGGCAGATTTAAACACACTAACTTAGATGCTGGAGCCCAGGCTATGCTCAGCAGATACCCCATGTGGATCTAAAGAGTACCTCAGAGAATGTCCAGGACCACCCAATGAACTGAAGTCCCAGTGGACTGCCTCAGAGGCAGCTGTCGGCACTCATGATTAACTGAAGATTATGAGTCAACAGTCACTGTTTAAGATGTGCTTGGTGGGGCTTAACATTCCCAGAAGCATGAAACTCACTGTCTCCTTACCTTTCTGAAACAGTCATTGAAATTAGCCTCCTAGTCCTGGGTTACCCTCTGAACTTCCCCCCAACCAAACACACACAAAGACTACAATAAGGTTGTCTTCTTTATCTTAATACACCCACCTATTCCTCAGGAGTCTGAGAGACCTTATACAACAAAGGAAATTCCCAGAGGAAATTCTTTCTTTCAAAGCAGAGACCTAGGAAGTTGAGAGGCCACATGTATCCTGGCATTAGACAAATGTGGGTATGATCCCTGGCTCTGCTATCTACTAACGTCCATGCTTTGGGCAAAATTACTTAAGCACTTTGAGTCTGTTTCTTCATTTATAAAATACAGGATTATGATCCTTAGAGATGATGTTTACGTCAGATAGGAGCTCTATATTTAGAGATGAATATTTTATGATTATGAAGGAATTCGATGGGAAGAATACAATGTGGTAGGGTACTGCACGCTTCCAAGTGTCTCTATGATGGTTCTACACCAGATTATATATATTGGAGGTTGGTGGCCTATTCCTGAGTTTTGCTAGTAGTCTCAACAGGAGCTATGATACTGGCAATAACCACAGGAGTAACTTTTCCCCAGACTAGCAGGAATAGGCAGGGATCTAATCTGTTTTTGGAAGATTCCATTTAGGCAAAGTTCCCAGGCAGCAAAGTCACAAACAGGTGGGTGAGGCCAAGTCCCCAGGATGTAGAAACCATTCTCCTGATCCTTGAATCAATGGTTTGATGGGCATGGCACTATTCAGAGTACTGGAGACCAGTGGGGACTATACAGAGCCAAAGCTGTCAGCACAGGGAAAGGACAAAGCTGCTCAATGACCATCTTACCTTATCTTCATTGGCAACAAGCAAAGTTTCCATCCCCATTTTCAGGCGTTGAATTTCTTGGTCTATAAAAATTGAAGTATAGAAAGAACCACTGACATAAACACACTCCATTGACCACACATGCTAAAACATTACTTAAATTCAAACTTGAAAATCTTCCATCTGAATATGGGCTTCATTATTTCTCTAAAGTGCTTAAAATACTATCTGGCATAGGGTCAGTCTCATTACATGCTTTTTCGGACTATTAAATGAAAGAACCTAATATTCTACCTACTGTTCATAGACATTTAACAGCAAAATCAAAATGCCATTTACTCAAGTTGACACAGAAGAACTCAAAAATCATTCACAACCAACATCTCCCAAGAACACAGATAATATAATGTCTAATATAGAAGAAGCAGTTCTTAGCCTTTATAACTTGAGTAGCCACATACCCGGACTGATTTTGGAGAAAATCATATAGGCCAACAGAATTATAAGCAGAAAATTTCAAATAAAAAAGAAAATTCTACAACTGAATAAAGACTGGGAAAAATTATTTAAAATAGTTTGGCAGTTGGCTTAATATAGGCAGTTTGTATAGTCAGAATTGACTAACCAATGTTTAGATGTGTCAATAAATATGTTAAAACAAATACTATGGTTAAGGGAAAATAATTTTATCATAAACTCACAGAACTTCCCTGTGGTCTGAAGAATCTGTCAGTCTGTGGTGAAAAACTCATTTGTTTTCTCTCACTTTGGACCCGACAGGGGCTCACTGACTTCTTCCCAGACTGGTCCAGAGAACCATGTCAAAGGCCAATGCCTAAATGAGCAAGAGGTCATCTGCCATATACTTAGAGTCTAGAAATTGGCATACAGCTTTTTTCAAAGAAGGACCTACACTTACCCTTAAAATGAGTATTGCAAAAGGAATATGGTTGTCTATGCGAGTGTAAGCAAAGTACAGAGACAAGGAACTAAAGTATAGGCACCAGTTTTCTTTTGGAATGTTTGTTACATCAAACAAGGAAAACAAGAGATCTATGGACTTTGTGTACATAGTTGTAAGCAGTCTTTTTCAGAGTGAAATGGAGAGTACTTGCTCATTATCTTAGGTTTCTGGCAGCTGATATCAACTCTGTAGTCCAGTTTATGGGGGGCAGAGTGATAAGCTCCAGGTAGATGGACAAATCTCAATTAATTGGTCAGAACCCAACCTAAGCAGCAAATGACCAAAGGACCAATTCCAGGAGGTACCCAATGATGGAGTACGGTAGAGCCCAGATGGCTTGGAATGTCAGGGAGCATGGAGTAGACTGAGAAGGCTGCCTGACCTAAAAGTCACATCACGGGGAGCTCTCTGGCCAGATCTGGCATTTCAGATGGTGCAGGATATCTCTGTGGGACTCAACCTCCACAGGTAGGTAGGTGACACACCCAGTGGTTTGGGAAGACACTAAGAAAGGCTGGGAGAGGGATGAGCATGGTGTTCACTAATTTCCCTCTCTAGCCTAAGCAATCGTTGTATGGCTCCCACACCCCAGGTAGGGATCCAAGCTTAGCAGCACTAAGGCCAAGAAGAGACTGTGTTGTGGCACCAATTCATGGGACTATATGATCCCCTCCAGCATTGCTTTGTAGTCTCTTGGAAAGAGAAAAAGTTGAAAGATGTATGAAATTTCTGTACACACAGCAAATAACCATAAATATAAAACATTTGCTAGTCAGCAAGACTTGGACATCTCAGAGGCCACTCATCATCCTTTCACTTATCCAATAAGTATTTCTTAGGTGCCTATCATTGGTTAAATATTGTGCTGGACTCTGCAGATATGAGAGACACTCCCTGCCTCAGAGTGGTAATGACAGTCTATACTGTAAGATCTCCCAAAACCGAGTACTGAAAAGTTAAATTAAGTGCTATGAAGAGAAAAAAAAAATAGGAGGATGCTGACATAAGAGAACAGGACAAGGGGCACCTTCTGGAAGTAGAATGGCCAAAAAGGGTCTCTCTGAGAGATAACATTTGAGTTGAGATCGAAAACATGAAAAAGAACTGATTTGTTTTTGCAACCTCAGGGCCTTGTTTAAGTATCAGGCAGGTATCCATGAAATGACTGAACTGCTAAAGCGCGTCCTTTGGTGATAACATGGAAGCAAGGGTTTTCAATTAAATGAAAGTTGTGTATTTCCTCCATTCTCAGTAAAAGCTCCAGAGATGGTTGCACAATTAACAGAGCTCCAGGGAACACTGTGCACTTAAGAAAAGTCTTAGTAGTTGTCTCTTGGGTAAGGGAGGGGGTCCGTAGCCATGACTCTACAATAGAGCTATGTTTTGTAAGCTCACATACATAAGCATGCACACATACACACGTATCCATTAATTCACAGTGCCTGCACACATACATACATGGACATATGTAAAAGCATACCTACTCACACAACTGTACACACACTCATTAATAGACACACATGCCCACTTTTAAGAGAGGGTCCAGGACAACTGCATTTAGTCAGTCAAGCCAGTCACCTCTCTCTGCGTGTTCACCGTGGAGAGCTGCAGTCCGGGAGAGCTGGCTGTGCAGACGCTCAATTTCTGCATCTTTCAGGGCCACCTGCTCTTGCAGCTGGGCTACCTCGGCCTGGAAGAGCAAGAGGATCCCTATCAGGTCAGATGGGGTGGCCAACCATGATGAAGTGGCTTGCGTCAGAACCCAAGACTATTTATCTACATACCCCAGGACACATCAAAGATTGAGAGCAGAGGGGGAGAGTCAGAGGGGCACACTGCCCCTCCCCAAAGGGTGGAACTCTGCTGAGTGAATTATCCTTCTCAGTTCTTCTGGCCCTGTCTACGGATCTAGCCATCAATCTGAACCTTCCAGTGCAACCTGCTACTTGACCAGACTTTTTTCTGTCCTGCCTTGTAAGACTCAGATATCAGTGAGACCAGAGGGCTGAGGCTGAATGCCTTAGGAGTGCTGTCCTTAGTGTAGAGGTTATTTCTAAATATGGTTTTCTTTCTCCAAAACAGTCACGCAATAGCATTTAGATACACTACTCTAACAAGTGCATCTTTCATCTTTCCACCCCACACAGGAAATGCAACAGAAATCAAATCGCTCCTGGTGGTGGAATTCTCCCTCCCTCAATGCTCCCCCACCTTTTGTGCAGTCACTGCTTCTGCATCCTCACCCATATTTAAGTACACACAAGAATTCAAGTGTGCTTAGCATATATACTTTCCCAAAACAAGTATGCACGTGTAGCACACAAGGGTGCACACATCTTCCTCTATGCATCCATGCACACGGGGAGCTACATTACATGATGTTCACGTCTCCATTAAATAGAGCAGATTAAGTTTCACACACAACAGTAGGTTTGGTTGTCCATGCTTTCCCATACTCATTAAAGATCAGGACTGTGTAGAGAGGCACTTTGACTTTGGCATTAAGCAAACCTAGATTCTCTAATTTTCTAGTTAGGTAACTGTGGGCAAGTAAGATAACCTTTCTGAGTCACAGCTCGTTTGTAAAACAGGGGAAAAGAACAGCTACTTCCTAAGACTGCAGTGAGAATTAATACAATAGTAATGAGCAAGTTAGTCTAATACAATCTGTCTATCAAGTGCTCAATAAATGCTATTACTATTGTTCTCAAAGCCAATGGAATACAATACAAAGGATCCTACTCTGGCCATATCTCCCTGTGTGCTAACAAACCAGTTGTCAAGGGTTTTATATGGACTGTCCTTTCCCACAGAGGCCCATGTTAAATGCTGAATAACTTCAAAGTACCAAATGAGCACTGGTCCTGTCGGTGGTTCCTTCTGCACAAGGGGCATTGTGTTTGGTTTAGCACCTCCGCCTCAGCCTCTGTGCTCTTTCTTAGATCAATCCTCACAAGAAAGTACGGAGGGAAGCAACAGCCCTTCAAGCCACTGGGAAGAATACAGAATTTGTGCAACATTCAGTGTCAAAGTGAAAGAACTACTCAGTGACCAGGCCAGGATGTAAGTCAGGCCGGCCTGCCTGCCCAGCAAGGGCTCCACCAACCCCAGATGTAATGGGACAGATGAGGGCCACTCTTATAAGGCTTGGGGTCCCTGAGGCCACTGTCTCTAATCTTCCCCCAAATGGGACAGAGACAGCAAATAAAGGAAAAAAGAGCTGAGGGGTATGTTTGCTTACTCCCCTATTCACTGTAGAGCCTTGCCCCACCCTGCTCTTTCTATTTTATTTTTTAAAGATTTATTTATTTACTTGAAAGTCAGAGTTACACAGAGAGAGGCAGAGAGGCAGAGAGGCAGAGAGAGAGAGAGAGAGAGAGAGAGAGATATTTCTATCTACTGGTTTACTCCCCAGTTGGCCGTAATAGCCGGATCTGCACTGATTTGAAGCCAGGAGCCAGGAGCTTCCTCTGGGTCTCCCACTTGGGTGCAGGGGCCCAAGGGCCTGGGCCATCTTCTACTGCTTTCCCAGGTCACAGCAAAGAGCTGGATAGGAAGTAGAGCAGCCGGGACTCAAACTGGCACTACACCATGGCGCCGGCCCCTGACCTGGTCTTTACAGAGACAGACAGCCAGGTCTCTCTGTGCTAAACTGCTTGCTAAGAAATGCAGCCTTGGAGTAGTCTTTCATAGCTCACTCAGGGCCTTGGGGCCCACAGGTTTACAATTAACAGTGACAGTGGCTTCTGAAAACCCTAGCCTAGAGGCTCTCAATCCAAACACCTATTTCCATGAGAGACTCTTTTTGGAAGATATTACCTTAACCTTCCTTGTGTCTCTCTATGCCTGTTTCTCCCTTTCTTTGCAGGCTGGATGGATGCTGGTCTCTGTTAGGAATCTACACGTCTGATGCTTGCTGCAGGTCCCAAGGTAAGACTTTAGTAAGTGGGCCTGTTGAGGCAGCCTAGCACCTGGTACTAGGAGGCTGCTTCTGAGCCCTGCCTCCCGATGGAGTTACCTTTGTATGTACTGTGGATCTACAGACTAAGTGACTGGACCCAACTTCCCTTGTACCGATGCCCACAGAATAGGCCAGAAACTACCAGATGTTCTGTTAGAGGTTAGCTGCCCCCACTGCTAGGATGGCCAACAAAAGCCCAGAAGCTCTCATCTGAACATGAGGACAAAGTAGTGCTGCTGCCATCAATGCCACAGTCACTGAGGCTAGAGCTGTGTGGCAAGAGGCTCGAGACAGCCACACAGACTGGCAGGCAGGCAGGTACAGATGCGTGCTCTGGGTCCCCACCAGTGCTGGGCCTCATTAAACTCATGGACCGGGGCCGGCACCGTGGCATCCCATATGGGTGCTGGGTTCTAGTCCCAGTTGTTCCTCTTCCAGTCTAGCTCTCTGTTGTGGCCTGGGAAGGCAGTGGAGGATGGCCCAAGTGCTTGGGCCCTGTACCCGCGTGGGAGACCAGGAGGAAGCACCTGGCTCCTGGCTTCAGATCAGTGTAGCTCCAGCCACAGTGACCATTTGGGGGGTGAACCAACAGAAGGAAGACCTTTCTCTGTCTCTCTCTCTCTCACTGTCTAACTCTACCTGTCCAAAAAACAAAAAACAAAAAACAACTCATGGACCATGGCCTATAGACACTGTACTGGAAGATGGTTCACCTTTAGGGACTGAGAAGCCTTCAGCAAAAACTGAAGAACTTTCAGAAACAGTGTAGGTTTTTACTGCAGTAAATCAGAATGATACAGAAAAGAGGATGAGAACAGGGGAGCAGCATAGACTGGATCTGAACCTCGCCTTGACCACTCTGAGCCTGTTTCCCTACAGGTACAAATGAAAATAATAAAGTATACTTACTGAGATATTTTATGGATTAAATGATAAAATGCATGCAAAGGACTTGGTGTATCCTGGCATGTAGGAAGTGCTTCACACCTGGTAATTATTAAATAACACTTATCTTTTCAAATTTCTACATGCTAAGGCAAAGAGTTTATGTAACGTAAAAAGAAAAGAGTTATTTGGTCTTCTAACAGAGGTATGTACACTTCAAAGGTTTCACCAAGACAGGACTTGGTTGACTGAAGCACCATAATGGAAGAAAGTTCAGAGCCAATGAGCAAAGCAATGCATCCAGAATTAGTGAGTGTGAAGTATAGCACACACAAGAGTGTTTCAAAAGGTTCTAGGAAAACTGGAATTAAAGATAAATTTGTTTGTACAGAAAAACTGAGATCATATATAGACAAGGTCTTCAAAAATTTCATGGAAAATGAATATTATGATAAAAACTGCATGAAATTCAAATATTTTATACTAAAATAAACATTTTTACATATATACGTATTTTATGTCTATATACATAAACATTTTAATTCAATTTTCTACAAATCTTTTGGATTATCTTCATACAAGGCTATATTCAGACAAAAATAGAAGATAGATGGAGCTGGTTGGTACTATCTAGCTATCAGTTCTCGAGAAAGTTTGTATCTCAGTTTTATCATCTGTAAAATGGTTAAGCAAATTATTTTACATTTATTTTCTGGAATTTTAAGTGCATATTAACATCATGTTTAGCATTTTAATAAAATGGAAATCAAAAAAACTTAAATGAAAAAAGCATGGTGTAAAACTGCATATAACTGGTCAATACCAGAAATTAAGAAAGAAATTAGGAGACAGAAAGACCACAAAGACAGAGAAAAATACATGGGAGGAAAAAGTAATAATGACCGCTCTTAGGTGATTTATTCCTTTAATTTTTCTTTTATGGTCTGAAATTTTTCTACTATGAGTATTAGGCTGTGAGAGCTTCGTCTCTCAACTCCACCCAACCAAAGAATTTATTCTTTGTGTCCTTTAAACAGAAAGCTTCCCAGGTGAATTTGAATGGGGAAAAAAATGATTTAAATCATTTTTAGGAATACATCAATTGTCTAAAATCAAGTATGCCTATCTTTGGAAAAACTAGTTATAAAAGGGACTGTTACACCTAGCAAGATGAACCCAACATAACGCTGAAATTCATCTGTCCAGGACTCATCACCTCTGCACTCCCCAGCTCACTGCCTAACAGTGTGCCTACCGGCTCATTCGCTTGATCACTCAGCCCCCCCGGTCCACCTTCAGTCAGGAGCTGTGGGACTCGGCAAGGGGAAGGAGACTCAGTTACTGCACTTTAGCAGCTCAGAATCTCACAGGCTTTCCCCAGGAGGAGTGTTCGTGGATCAAGCCTTGGTGCTGCACTGTCTGAGCACCACTGCATGTCCACATAGTAGGACTGGCTTGCACTCTTCTTCCCTTCCTCCCTTCCTCCCTTCCTTTTGAAGATTTGTTTATTTGAAAGACAGAGCTGCAAAGGGAAGGAGAGACACAGAGAGAAAGAGATCTTCCATCTGCTGGTTTGCTCCCCAAATGGACACAACAACCAGGACTGGGCCAAGCCAAAGCCACGAGCCTGGAACTCCATCTGGATCTCCCACATGGGTGTCAAGGGCCCAAGAAGTTGGGCCATTTTCTGTTGCTTTGCCGGGTGTGTTTGTGGGGCACTGGATTGGAAGCAGAGTGACCAGGACTTGAATCAGCACTGTGATATGGGATGTTGGTGTCACAGACAGCAGCTTGACCCACTGCACCACACTACCAGCCTAGTTTGTGTTTTTCAAATTTAGGCTCCTGGAAACTCTGAGTCTGACCTTAGACCCTCCCCCACAGGGCCTCTGTGCTGTCCCCATGAACATCAGCCCCACCCTTTACCTTAGTGGCCTTCAGCTTCCACTCATACTGATTCCGTTCATTCTCCAACTCTTCCACTTTGATTTTGAGGTGTCTGAGCTCTTGCAGTAACTCCTAGAAGGATCAGGGAGACAAAGTCCTTATGGTTAAAGGCATGTGCTAGGTCTACAAGCCTGGTGAGCTCATGCACACGGGATGCCGGGGCAGCAGCCATGTCAAGCTCTACACTTCAGCCTTAATCTTGAAATCTGGTCTGTGTTTCAGAAGCACTGACAAACGTTAGGGAGTTCCAGACATAAGAGAAAATGTTTCTTTAAAAAAAAAAAAAAAAAAAAAAAAAAAAAACTATTCTGCCTGCCCCTTCCTCTGACATCCGTGTATGTCTACATCATGCACAGGTGTGCTGGGGGCCAGAGAGGTAAGGATTGGAAATGGAAAGACAAGAAGTCGTACTGAAAGGAAGCAGCTTCTTCTCCCGTGATGCGGACGGAGTCCTCTCTCTGTGCTAGGGGTAGAGGAACTTGGAGGAGGAGGTACATGATTGTAGAAGGCTTCCCAGAGGAAATCACAGCCAGAAGCACAGAAATGAATCAGTAAGAGAACAAATGCTAGGTGCCATAGGTGGACATCAAAATAGGTGTTCCAGTTCAGAGGAGCAGGTTGATAAAAGAGGGAAGGCGAGGGCACACAGGGAGGGTAAGAGTAGGAGACAGCACAGGAGAGGACTGGAGGATGAGGTCAGCACAAAGTGGAAGATGGGGTGGGGAGGCTACGCTGGGGGCTCTGTGCAAAGGCTTTTATATGAGAATATGGATTCTGATGCTGTTCACTGGACAACAGGGAGCCAGGGAAGGTTGCTGAGTGGGGGAAGTGTTACTAAAACAATGTGAGCATGTCCGTGCTGCTAGTAAATGGAGGAACCGGAATTCAAGTCCGTATCATCTGACTCCCGAGCCCCTGCTTTTTAAACTCCCCTTTCAATAAAGAAGATGCCACCAAGTACAGTGGCCGTGAATCAGGATTCCCTTAACTAATAACTGCTTCTCCTGACCAGTTCCTACCAGAATTGGCCTGGGGTAATTATTTCCACAGGCTTTCTGAACTCCAAACTCACACTGTTGACTTCCTGTTCAACATCTCTACATGGATGTCACCCAGCCATCTCTGGAATGTCAGGTCCCAAGTGGGACTCTCAATTCCCAAATCACCCGTTTCACTAACTGGCATATTTAAGTCATCTAATCGCCTGGGCCAGAAACCTGAAATGCATCTGTGGCCTCTCTCCCTCTTCCCCTATATATAATTCAACCCCAAGCTTTATCAATTGGTATCTCCAAGAATATAACCCAAATGTCTCATTTCCTTCTCATTCTACCACCACTATTCTGCTCTAACAATGAGTGTCGGTAGCCTAGGCAATCCCTTCATTGGTTGCTCCTCTGCCCTGCCCCCTTCAAATCCATTGACTCTTAGGACACCAGGGGAACAATATGATTTAAAAAAATATCTGATTCTGGCATGCTAAACTTCAACCCATGACCATTACTGCCTGGCCTGTTCCAGGTCCCTGTTTGCTTCTTTATCATCCTTTCTTGCCAGTTACATTTCAGACAGACTGCAAAGTTTTCAGTTCTCGTTCCAATTTGCATCTTCCATCTAGAACTATCCACCAGGCTACCTCCTGTCTATCCTTCAGGTCTCCCTGAGCAAAGCTACCCGACCTCCACATTATATCAAGTCCCTCTGCAAGGCCTTCTTTTTTGTAATCTGTGTATCTTGTACCTAACTTGCACTCAAACCTTTATGTATAGGATTACTTATGGTTAATTCTCCTCCTCTTTCTGTAAGCTCCTCCGATCATCAGCAGTGCCTGACACAGCAGGTATGTGTCATACATCAATGAATGATCACCCAAAACTCAAGTCATTATTTATCTTGCCTGGGACTCTGAATTCTGAACCAACACACCATGAAGTGACAGTGCTTACACCTGAATGTGGTGATAAATTATTAATATTGCCTTAGAGTTGAGGTGAGCATCTCTAATGCCTGTTTGTTAAAAAAATTTTTTCTAAGTTAAGGTTAATATACATCCATGATCTGTGTCACTGGACTTCAAGGCCTTGGTCACCTATTTTGGCTATCAGCTGATTAAGGATCATTTTCTAGGAACTTAGGTAGTTCTGCCTGAGGGGCTCCAACACCTAGAAGTTAGCGGCTCCTCTGTCCATGCTTGTATCCTTACTCAGTCCTGAGACTGAACGTGGCCTATTGATGGCAGAGTTGTAAGTGTATGGGATACCATTGCCTGAAGACTGTCATTGTGGGGACACACAGATTATGCCCTCCCAGTTCTTATGCCTTGTCTGGTGCATGGCTCAGTGGTTGTGAAATCACCCTCATCTGATAACATGGGGGAATTTTTCCTTGAAATTCAGATGATGACTTAACTGTTCACATCAAACGTAAACTTTTGTTCTATTTTTCTCACAGGGCATAAATCTCTTTAAACATGAACTTGAAAGGACTCTTTTTCATGATCCTTTTTTGTGGCACATAATTTTATTTGATTAGTACATATTCTTGTGAAATGTTATGTCAGTTTTTTTTGGCAATTCAATTTGTATTTTTAACATTTATTTATTTATATAAAGGGAACTGATTTCAGGCATTTTATATCATGATGCTTTCTTATGTAAAATAAAGGATCATGTGAAAATGAAAGTGCATTTAATCTAACCATCCAGGAGAAAAAAAATCTCATACTGGGGTTTCTTTTGCATAAATGCCCTATCAGTCTTAGCATCTAACACACCTCATCCCCAGTCCTGAGGGAGATGAGTGCTGCAACCTGAACAGCGGTTGGCTTCACCTGGTCAGACCCTGGTCAGTAAGCATCCAGAGCTCACCTCCCATCCCAAGAGGAATGAGTGAGTCCCAGCTCTGCCTGTAGGTAACAACAGATCCATGCTAAACCACAGCACTCGGTTCAGGTTAGTAGGAACCCCAGCCCCTCCATCAGGGAAATGCCCCACACACGCATGCTCTGATATACTTAAGTGTGGTTCCTACAGGTGACCCCTCCCAAGGGGCACAGTCCTGGCTGCATGGCTGGGGCTCGGCTGCACCGTCACCAGCCGCTGCCTCCTCAGGGTTGTCCCTACTGAGTAACAGGCGCTCTTGAATCTGCCTGTGGATGTCCAGCTGCAGCCTACACATCTGCTCCTGCAGCTCACTGATCACATTCAGAACCGACTGTAGGAAGGAAAAGAGAGGAGAGAAAAGCACTGAAGCTCAGTCAATTTTCAGACACACCAAGCTTAAGAGAAAGCACAGAAGGAAGGAAGGAAGCGCGCAGAGGCTGGGCAGCTGGTGCCTGGCGGCCCATAACAGTCACCTCCCGTGGCCAGCCACTTTCTTCACAGGATCCAAAAGCATGGCATTCTCCCTGAGGCAGCCCCATAGCTTGGACAAACATACAACAGATCCCTTGTGCCATACTCGATGGCCAGCCTTGCAGGTTGACATCAGAGGCACAGGGAGTAGAAGAAACTATCTAAGCAGAAACAATAGCAGATACGGGTGCACAACATGCACATACTGACATATCTCCTCCACACACGTCTATACATACATGCTACCTCCTCCACTCAATACATCAATGAATGATGTATGAGGTGACACATATGGCATACACCACATTTGTACATAACACATCCCCAACTCTAAAATCATTCAGTAACAACATGCCTATTTTAGCATTCATCCTGTGTTTTTCCATCGTGTCCAAAAGACTACACTAAGCAGTGTTACTGGACCACCTCCCTGAAGTATGAATTTACCAGGTCTACTGCTATACAGTGTGGATTTCCATTCCTGGCCAAATCAAGGAGGTCAGTCAGAGGCAACTCACTGGTGGTGGGCATGGATTCCTACTTTGTCCATTACGTTCGGGCAAACCACCATAGAGTTAACCTCAAACTTAACAGACTTACATTCTATAGAACTAACTTGTTCTGTCATTTTGAAGATAAGGAAAAGATGGCTCATTTCCAGTTTTTAGCAACTCATTTGGTTTTCCTGATTCCTTAAAATTTAATTACAGCAAGCATTCTAGGGACTGTTGTTGTAAAGTCTTTGCACCAGTCACAGGCATCAGTGGAATCAAGTCTATTCTTTTTTTAATCTTCTTATTAAGAGCTTTAAAAATGGCTTTATGGGGGCCAGTAGCGTGGTGCAGTAGGTTAAGTCCCCGCCAGTGGTGTCGGCATCCAATATGGGCACCAGTTCAAGTCCTGGCTACTAAACTTCCAATCCAACTCTCTGCTAATGGCCCAAGTTATTGGGCCCCTGCACCTGTGTGGGAGACCTGGAAGAAGCTCCTGGCTCCTGGCTTCAGATTGGCACAGCTCCAGCTGTTGTGGCCATATGGGGAGTGAACCAGCAAATTGAAGACCTCTTTCTCTGTCTTTAACTCTGCCTCCCAAATAAATAAATAAATTTTTTAAAAAAAAAAATGGCTTTCTGTTGTACCTAGCATCATACTCTTGTTTGGGGTTTGCCCTTCCTGATACTGGCCATGCAGGTGCATTTTCATGTGTCCTTATTACACATCCTTTCTATCCTGTCAACAAGCTCCTTTGAAAATTAGTTTTTCTCAAGGTACTTCTAAGCTTTTCCTTTTTACTAGTATTATTTGTGAGATGTCACAGTCAGAATTTATCATCTTAAAGCAGTTCAATATTCTTGAATTTACTGTACCAACATTATGATTTACAAAACCTACAGCATGTGTCCGTCTATGCCTAGTTTTCACTTTGTTTAATTTCATGAGCCTTCAAATACATTGACAACTTTGTCTCAACATACCTATCATTTTATTTCATGAGCTACTTTCTCCCTTTGCTTCAATATTTTTTTTAAAGATTTAAAGATTTATGTCTTTATTTTAAAGGCAGATGTAGAGAGAGGGAGAGAGAGAGAAGGCTCTTCCATTCATTGGTTCACTCCCTAAATGGACACAATGGCCAGGTCTGAGCCAGATCGAAGCTAGGAACCTGGAACTCCATCCAGGTCTCCCCCATGAGTCGTAGGAGCCCAAGTACTAGGGCTATCTTTCGTTGTATTCTCAGGCACATTAGCAGGGAAATGGATCAGAAGTGAAGCAGTCAGGATTCAAACCAGCAGCCTATTATTTGCCAGTGTCACATGTGACAGCTTAACCCACTGTGCCATAATACCAGCTCCTGCTTCAATATTGGAGTTAAAATAGCAGTTTTCCCAAATTTGTTTTCTGCCTTCTGAGTAAACAAGAAGCAAGTGATTGGGGCCGGTGCTGTGGTGAAGTGGGTAAAGCTGCGGTCTTCAGTGCTGGCATCCCAAATGGGCGCCAGTTTGAGTCCCGGCTGCTCCACTTCTGATCCAGCTCTCTGCTGTTGCCTGGGAAAGCAGTAGAAGATGGTCCAAATCCTTGTGCTCCTGCACCCACGTGGGAGACCCGGAAGAAGCTCCTGGCTTCTGCCTTTGGATCAGCACAGCACTGGCCATTGTGGCCAATTGGGGAGAGAACCAGTGGATGGAAGATCTCTCTCTCTCTCTGCCTCTCCATCTCTCTCTATTTAACTCTGACTTTCAAATAAATAAATAAATAAATAAATCTTAAAAAAAAAAAGCAAGTGAGAAAAACAAACTTTCACATTTGTCAGTCTTTATCTGCAGATTTTAGGGTCCATCCAAGTAGTTGCTGCTTCTCTCCTTCCATTACCACCCCTGGTCTTCATCAGTCTGGGATCTCTATCAGATATGCATCCAGTTTCCTCGTCTGTTCAGTGCAACTACATGGTGCAACTCCAAAACTCCTGGGCCACTTTTCCTTAATTCTCCATAAACAACATAACTGCTGTTTCCCAGCACGAGTCAGGCTTGGTATTTCACCTGACTGTGTAATTCTGATCTCCAGGGCTAACCACTTCCGGTAAGGTAGGCCCCTTTGTAGCTCCATTCCATTTTTGGGTCCCACATCATGAAGTCCATGGGATATATATTTGAGGTTATAATTGTTGCTCTGTGTTGTAATCTCACCTTACTTTGTTTAATAGTGCTCCTTTGTCAATCATTAAGGATTTTTCTCTATGTGTAACTCCTAGGCACCTCCCATCATCTTTTTATTTATTTTTTTATTTTATTTTTTTATTTTTGACAGGCAGAGTGGAGAGAGAGAGAGAGAGAGAGAGAGAGAGAAAGAGAGAAAGAGAGAAAGAGAAAGGTCTTGCTTTTCCATTGGTTCACCCTCCAATGGCCACCACGGCCGGCGCGCTGCGGCCGACATATTGCGCCGATCCGAAGGCAGGAGCCAGGTGCTTCTCCTGGTCTCCCATGGGGTGCAGGGCCCAAGGACTTGGGCTATCCTCCACTGCACTCCTGGGCCACAGCAGAGAGCTGGCCTGGAAGAGGGGCAACCGGGACAGAATCCAGCGCCCCGACCGGGACCAGAACCTGGTGTGCCAGTGCCGCCAGTGGAGGATTAGCCTAGTGAGCTGTGGCGCTGGCCTATTTTTTATTTTTTTGACAGGCAAAGTGGACAGTGAGAGAGAGACAGACAGAGAGAAAGGTCTTCCTTTACCGTTGGTTCACCCTCCAATGGCTGCTGCTGCTGGCGCGCTGCGGCTGGCATGCTGTGGCCGGCACACCTCGCTGATCCGAAGCCAGGAGCCAGGTGCTTCTCCTGGTCTCCCATGGGGTGCAGGGCCCAAGCACCTAGGCCATCCTCCACTGCACTCCCAGGCCACAGCAGAGAGCTGGCCTGGAAGAGGGGCAACCGGGACAGAATCCGGCGCCCCAACCAGGACTAGAACCCGGTGTGCCGGCGCCGCAGGCGGAGGATTAGCCTATTGAGCCGCGGTGCCGACCACCTCCCATCATCTTAAGTGGTTTTTACCCTTTCCTATTTCATACACTTGCTCATAATTTTACACAGTTCTTTCACTACAGCATCATTTTTTAATTTTTTAATTTGTTCATTTGAGAGAGCAACACTGGTAGACAGAGAAAGAAATAGACAGAGAGAACAAGAGCAAGTGTTCCCATCCACTGATTCACTCTAGAAATGGCCACAATGTTGAAGTTGGAATTGCAATCAGGTCTCCCATGTGTCTGGCAGTAACCCAACCATTTGAGTCATCACTGCTGTCTTTTACAGTCAATATTAGCAACAAGATGGAATTGGGAGCCGGAGGCGTGGATTAAACCCAGGTACTCTGATATAGGACGTGAGCATCCAAACCAGGAGCTTAACTGCTACCAAACACATACTCTGAACATTATTGTAGTACTAAAAACTTGGAAACAACCTAAGCAGCCACTGAAGGAAAACAAGTCAAGTTAATTAGGGCACAGTCACAGTAGAATATTATGCAGACATAAAAGAATGAAGGGGTTTCTTTTTTACTGTTCATGGTATGAAAAGAACTCCAAGACCACTGCTAACTTTAGAAAGAAAGGTCTAGAATAGTGTGTACTTGCACAAAAATAAGGGGAAGAATGTGGGTGTGTCACACACACACACCCACACACACACACAGAATATATATCCACATGTGTTTGCTTGTCTATTCCTAAAATAACTCTGGGGGGATACAAGCATATTGATAGCACTGGTCCCTGACTGTTGACCAGAGAACAGATGTAGAAGGAGATTTTTGCTATGTATACTTTTGAATTCTTCATTTAAAAAAAAGTTCATTTATTTATTATTTTCATTTGCTTAAAAAGCAGAGTAACAGAGAAAAAGAGACAGAGATAGACAGAGAAGATATCTCCCATCCACTGGTTCACATCCCGAATGCCCACAACAGCCAGGATGGGCCAGGCCAAAGTCAGCAGCCAGGAACTCCATCTAGGTCTCTCATATGGGAGGCAGAGACCAAGCACTTTGGCAATCACCTGCTGCAACCCTGGGCACATTAGCAGGATGCAGGATTCAAGCCGGCACTCCAACATAAGACGTGGGCATCCCAAGCAGCAGCTTAACCCACTGCACCACAATGCTCTCCCCTGAACTCCTCATTTTTTAACTGCAGGAGAGTATTTCCTATACTAATGAAAATAAGTAAACAAATAAAATAAAAACAAGAATAATAAAACTCCCGGTCAAGTCAACCTCTCTGAACAAACACTCCCTGTCAAGCCAACCTCTCTGAACAAACACAGTCTTTTCAGTCCTTGCTCTGCACTACACACCCATCCTCTGGTTGCCTTAGTTCAGAAATTAGAATCCCTTCCTCCCAAGGTCTTCACCACAGGAAGAAAGAAGGGATGACGGCACCACCACTTGGGTTGAACTAAATTCCATTTTCTGCCAGGAAGTACTAAATAAATAGTCTTTCTAGGTCTCTTCCTGCTAATGTATATCCTGATCAACTGGGAAAACTATTCTTCCCAGCAAATCCTGGATTCCTGCTCTGAGAACCCCGGGGTCCCACTATGGGATCCAGCTGCAAGCCCCCACCCCATACTCCCACTGTGCAGGAACCCCAGACCCCCTCCCCTGAGGACAGCCTTCTGCTCTGTGTGCCTTTGATCTGGTGTGCCACACAGAAGTTTTCCTTCGCTTCTGCATCTTTCTTTCAAGTTCTATCATCCTAATTCTGGTATTCATTTTCTATGTCAATCACTATTCTGCAATCTTGCTTTTCAAGAGTAAATACAACTAATTCCAGTTTGAGTACCTTATGGCCCAGAACCATTGCAGCTGACAAGACAAGTAAACAGGAAATCCACTATTTACCTATATCTCATGTGAGTCACTATTAACTAACTCCTGTGCAAGACTGGACATCAAGAAATCTGTGACTTGGGGCTGGGGCTGAGGCTGGGGCTGGCGCTGTTGCATAGCAGGCTAAGCCTCAGCCTTTGGTGCCAGCATCCCATACGGGCTGGTTCATATCCTGGCTGCTCCTCTTCCAATCAAGCTGTCTGCTAATGGCCTGGAAAGCAATGGAAGACAGTCCAAGTGCCTGGTGCCCCTGCACTCATGTGGGAGACCCAGAAGAAGCTCCTGGCTTCGAATCGGCCCAGCTCTGGCTGTTGCAGCCATTTGGTGAGTAAACCAGCAGATGGAAGACCTTTCTGTCTCTCCCTCTCTCTGTCTGTAACTCTACCTCTCAAATAAATAAGAAAAAGAAAAAGAAAAAGAAAAAGAAAAAGAAAAAGAAAAAGAAAAAGAAAAAGAAAAAGAAAAAGAAAAAGAAATCTGTGCCTCCAAGTTCTCAGGTGCTTGAATGACCATACCACGACCAACCATTTTTACAACCCAGCTGGCTTAGGGTGTGATCATAACCATAGCAGAAAGAGCAGTCTGCAAAGCTCTTGTTTACAGCATCCTCTTTTTTCATTGTAACATGAAATGGAATTTGAGGATAAAGCCTAAGCTACACTGAGTAAGTTTACTTTGGATCTGGCTACTTCCAAGGGGGGGGGGGGGGGGGAGTCTTGCTTTTTTAGCCCTTAGGCTAAATACATTCTCCAGGAAACAAAAAAAAAAAAAAAACAGCAGCAACATAAGATGGGAGGCAACATTCATGCAACTGCAACCCCTAGTGACCTTAGGAGAAACATCTCCATGTATGCGACAGTGGTGTGGTTTAAGCAGCACCACATGGTGGTAAGCTCCTGGTGCTCCTGACAGTCACAAACAGAGGCAGAGGTTCTGGGCCTACCAGCGAAGACTACGCTTAACTACAAGAATGAGGAATTTGTTTCAGGTCATGTGGCTGCTCACTGATTATCACAGGTTTGAACAGCCTGCAAAATTCCTGCACATGGAAACCTAATATTTGTACTAGCAACTGGGAAGGGCTGTTATCTGGTAGGGTGGAGGCCAGAGGCCCAGGATCTATGTTGTCTCACATAAGAACAGCCAGATAGAAAACAAAAAATTCAGCTTCAAAAACAACCTTTCAGAAAAGAGAAGGAAAGCACACAGTAAAATGACTGCTTAGCCCCAGAAGCTACTGATGGCCGTCTTTGTCACCATATGGGGAGAGCCTTCCTGAGAGTAAGGCTAAAACAGAACCAAGTAACACAGCAAGACTTACTCTGGTCACTGTGCGATTACCTGGACTCATACTGGATATTTTAAACACTGCACTTCCAAGTCGTGTGATCTAGCAACTCCCCTCTCTTTTTAAATGTGTTTTTGAGTTGTCTTTGCCTTCTCACATAGTTTATTGAATTCTGCCCCCCAAAGCCCTAATGCATATAAACATGTAATCAAATATCTTGCAACACTGGCAAAATTACTCCAAACCAGGAGAAAAGTCACTTAAATCTCTCTGAATGTCTTAGCAACAGTCCATTCAACATTTCACACAAATCAGCTTTAATCCATGTGATCTTGGAGTGTATAAACTATGAATCTAAGTCTACATTTCCATTTCTACCACACTTAACAACACGACCAGTAAGTGATCAATAAAAGCTGGCTATTGCCACATGTCCAGCACTATGCTAAGGATTGTATATACTCTACAGAACAACCAAAGCAAAGGGAAATACTACTATCTACATCTTAACAGAAGAAGAAATAGGGTTGGGAGGTTAAATAACTTGTTCAAGATCACAAAGCTAATGAGCAGCTGAGTTGGATTGAAGATGGAGATTCATTAGCCTGCATTTTTATCATGAGAGGCTATTATCTTCAGCTCACTGGAGATTATCTGCTTTTGGCAACCACACAATTTACTAATGATCATGTTCTCAAAAGCAACATAAGGAGTGTGCCTCACACATTAGAAGTGCCCTAATCACCAGCGTTTCCCCAGTCAACAAAGAAATATGGCAGGTGTCAGTGAACAATAATGTTGGCACTTATCAGAAAAGAACATTATCCATCTTTAAATTTTGAAGACCCTTAAATGGAGGAAGGAGATGACCAAGCACCTATGAAATGTCAAATACGCCAGGTACTTAATTTTTGTGATTTTATTTGGACTGACCACAGAGCAATTCATTTTACAGACAAAGAAGTTGAAGTTCAAAGAGATTAAGTAGCTAACTTGTTGAGGTTCATAGAGCTATGAAATAGTTACGCCATGGAGTAAATGAGTCATGGGGCTCCAAGCCTAAAACTTATCTCCTGTCATATCTCATATTACCAGGAATGAATATAAGGATCTGAAGGTAGAGACACAGGAAGAGAGTTATCTAGAGTTAAAACAGGCTGCCTTCTCCCAAACAAAGGAGGCTAAAACTCTCTAAATATTTATTCAGAAAGGGGTTGGGCATGCTCTAGCCAATGGTATATGGAGCCTGAAATCCAGAAAGCAGACCCAGGAAACATTCTCTATGAGAAGGTCTGTGTATGGGCTTACCCCTTACCATCCACCATGAGAAAAGAAACTCATCCCCTGGGACTTCCATCTGGGTCAGTGAAAGGTTCATAAAAAAAAGTGTTGCCAGAGTCCTTGGATATGGTGACAGTGGCCTACTGGGCAGCCAACCAGGTTCCCGGAAATCATCATTACCTTGGTTCTCACAGAAGATGTCCTGTGTCCTCAATGTTTTGCCTGATCCTTTCCTTACTACTGCTTCCCTATCCATCCTTGTCAGCAGTTTGAGGGAGGATAAAGCCTGAAAGCCAAAACTTAGTGGTTTGGGTATTGCTGAAAAAGTTGCAGACATAGCAAAACCTGATAACTTGGTATTAACCAAACATTCTTCCTCTAGTGCATAGATACTCATGGCACTCAAGGGCTGCCAGGCTTGGGGTTGATCAGATGGCCTACTCCACATTAGGATAGCCTCCCCAGGTCTAAGTTTAGGACAGAACAAACACTCTCCAGAATTTGGCACGTCACACCCACCTCTGCTTTTTTTTGCTTCTCCTCTTGCTCCCTCTGCTCTTTCTCCATGCCAACCAACTTGAGTTTCAGCTCAGACACTTCAGTCATCAAGTCAAGCTTCTGAGTCTCGAGAGATGTGCGACTTAGCAGCTCCTGCAAGCAAAAAACTGAACATCAGATCACCAACCACCACGTCAACAAAGACAGCTCTAGCTCTATTCATCACACATAAAGCAACAGGCAAGTCATATGTTGGACAATACAGAATTGAAACCTCTGCGGACTGGCTACGGGCCTATTATGGATGGGCCTGCAATGACACTGGGTCACTCAGATATAGCATAGCCTCTGACATTACCCACTGTGTTTTGGAAGACAAGGTGAGTTACATGTCTCGAAAGACATATTTGTCCACAGAAACCATTATTCATTATTTCCAAGTAGAGAGAAATGGATGAATACTGTCAAAGAACAAATTTCTCCACCTCTATTTTTCAGAAAAAGTAGTAGGTGTTTTCTGATAAAACAAATAAACTCATGTTGACAATATATTTTCAAAACCAAAATTTCTAGATCTTCTTCTGAGCTCAATAAACATTCAGCCCAGTCCTTGACACATGTCAATATCAGATCTTACTGCTATGAACCTAGACAGAAGTTAAAGCATAAAGCATGTATTCAATGAGTATTCAGTGGGTGACCATTTGGAAATTTTATTATATGAACTTGATCTTCCCTAGACTGTACCAAATTTAAAATTTGGCCACTTTGGGAAGTAAACAAGAAGATAGTTCTTTCCCAAATGTGGGAAGAAACAAGGGAGATTATTACTAGTCCTGTCATCACTAGAATAGTGGCAAGATACACACTTGTCATATACTTAGTAAGCATAAACAAGGGAAAAAACAAAGGTGATAGGCAAGACATTTGCTTAAACTAAATAATTATAAAGGGCTTCAAAAACCAGGAGAATTTCCCAAAGTCCAGAACCATGTATTTTCTCATTAACAAAGCCAATGTTCTGTAAAGTCCAACATCCCAGCACATGGTGGACACTGGCTACACAGGTGCCAACCAAAAAGAGTATATAGGAACTAGGTCAAGTGAATACGTGGAAAAGACACAATATCTTGCCATGTCTGAACATTTTGTATCATCTTGCAACCCAACTCCAGTACAGGAATGGTGCTCTCAACATTCTGACCCAATAGCTCTGACTTTGCAAATTTGGAACTTTCCTCAGATCATAAATCACACAAGACAGAGATCTGTTGTTTTTTTAAACTTGAAATACATGATTCCCCAAGTCAAAGGCCCTCAGGACTTGGAATAGCTAGTCTACAAACTTTCCATCTGCTAATCTGAGGGGCAGATATCTAAAAGTACAATAGCAGAGCACAAGGAGTTCTCTGAGCACTGGGCCTGCCAGACTTGAAACTGGCTCACAAGGCAGAGGCAGCAGCACTGCGGTGCCAGAATTGTGGGCTACTTGGCCACATGGAGCCAGGCAGATGAGCATGCCCAATGCAATGGGGTACTTGGAAGTATCGAGTGTCTCCTCTGTGCCAGACACTGCTTTAACATACATTGCCTGCATAAACCCTCCCAAGGATTTGGCAGTAAATATTATTATTATTCTGATTCTACAGAGGAAGGGATAAGTGCAGAAAGGGTAAATAAATATTTTGCCAGAGGTCACATACCGATCAGCAGCAGAGTTCGTTTTCAAACCAAGTATTGTTTGACTCCAGAATTCATTTCTGCCTAATGTATCATGTTGTTTACCAAATAGAGAAAGGGAATTTAAATATATATTTTTTAAAAATACAGGGAGAAAAGGCAATCAACAAAATTTTCACTGAGCCCAAAAAACATCCACTCAAACTGACAAGATTTCATTGAGTACAAGGTATCTACAAGGGTCTTGTGCTAAGGTTATGTAAGCCATTCCTCCCTGGCTATGGGCACACAGACATGGTGAGTTCTCTGGGTCTTGAATACCCAAACACCTTAAGATGTAATTCTCCCCCACAGAACCTACTCTTTCCCAACCTTCCTTCCTAACTTTCTTATCTTCCTCTACCACTTCATTCTCTATCAGTCTCAAACTTATATCTACCTGCTTGGTTCTAAACACGATTTAAGACAGTTTGCAAAACACATATTTCAAGTTAAAAGAAAAATCATAAAAATTAAAGCAGCTAGGAAAAGAAGTTGAAGCCAGAGTTACAGTAAGTAGAAAACCACACCGTAAAGTTCTATAAACAGTTAGAAATGGACTATAATGCATATTTGGGATTCTCAGCTGCTAATGCAAAGAAAAGGAAAAACTACACAAATTAAAGTCCATAAGATAATAACCATTACTTTGGAGTACTGAGATCTAAACAACAAAAAACTTTATTACATTTCATTCATTTATTTAACAAATATGTTTTTAAATACCTCCTACAAACCAACATCTAGGGACATAACAATTAATAAACACAGCCCTGTTGAATTCTGCTATATATTAAGATAACATTCGTGCAGTTCTGCCTACTGATCAGTATTCAGCCTTTTGCTTTGATAGATTCAAAAAGCCCTCAGAATGTATTTCTCCCAAAAGCTAAGTCTGTTCTATTTCCATTATTGCTGAAGTCTCTCCAACTATTTTAGCTACTGGGTTTTAATTGGTCATGCCAATGTTCTAGCTGATGAAGATAATATTTTAATTGATTCCAATAGCCATTTCAATTGGTCACACCAACATTCCAAGTGGCAATCCAGTTGAAGACACCACAGTTTTATTTAGAAACCGGAGGTGGCTTAATTTCATATAGTTAATTAATAATAAAATGTACACTTAATGTCTCCTAGCTTATATCTATTAGCATGTGCTTTTACCTTTTATAATCATCTCCCCTTGGTTTTTGTCATTAGTAATTACTGTTCTAGTTCCTGCACTCAAAAGCAGCCTCAACAGATTTATTCCAACCCAGCTTGACTTCCCTTCCTTCATCCCAGCAAGGCCCCTAGCCAGTTATGTATAACAATCTCTAAGTGTGTGCCTCAGTGGGAATTTACCCTACATCCTCAATTACTCCTACCTCCAACATAAACTGGATCTTGCCTTCTGTGCGTTATGATGCGTTCTTCCCAGTCATTTCAAGTGGACAGCTCTCTGCTTCCACCAACCCAATTTACAGAACAACTCTCTCTCTCTGTCACGACTGCTTCTAGACCACTCTTCGTCCCCACCAATGCTCCACATCTACCCTGCCCTTCCAAGGTAGCCCTAGCCAGTCAACCTGTTATCCCCAAATACCCAGCACCAATACAGTCTTACGTTTCTTGAGGCTCTTTTCTTTTGATGAACAGCTTCTCTACCTACTGTAGGCGCATTCTGTCTCCTCAGCAACTTCAACATCCTTGTTAATGTCGCTTCCCCTCAGTATCCACTGTGGCTTCACATGGATCCCAGCGCCAATAAGCTTTGCTTCTGCTTCCTCTCAGCCTTTCAGCAGCAATGTGGCCGTCATCTTTACCCAGAATGTTTTCTCTGCTTCTAAAATTTCAGCTATAAAATTCTCTCCTCTAGATACAATCTACTAACCTTTCAACTGTCCCACTTGCTTATCCAATCTTAAATTTCTCCTTGTGTGGCCACTGGTTACTTAATAACTTCCCATTTTCCTGGTTTATCAACTTCCTTTAAGCTATATTTGTTTCCTTATCCACTCTATACCTTAAAGTTAGTCATTTCAGTTGTACTCAAGTCTATACTGGAAAAATATTCGCCCAGCTCATCCCTGTCCCCAGGCAAATGTATGTTTGTTTACCAGAGCCCAGTTCAGCCAAATCTCATAGTCTTTTTGTCCATGTTTTCACTCTGCATGGCCTGAGAATAGCTGGTGAAAGTCAATGAATGATGCCAATTAGTTTCAATACAAATTTATGCTATCTAATTACAGCTTATCTTCCAATTTTTCCTAGTAAAAGTTGTATTTATCTCTGGATGATTCCCTTCACAGATTGTTCCAAATCTTTTCTATTCTCCTCAAGTCCTAAACCCCAGCCTACCCCTTTCTATTCTCCTCAAATAACCTCTCCTCCTATTTACTGAAAAGATAAAAATTATCTTGTTATTCACTGCATTTAAGTTCCATTTCAAAGTTTCCCAGAATCCTCTTATTCATTTCTCTTAAATCTCTGTCTTACAGAAAGCGAGCACACAGCTCCTTTCTAAGGCAAATCTCCAAAATCACACGTTTCCATCTTTACTGTCAGGTTCTCTCGCCTTTCAGAGGTGTTTCCTAGCCCAGTAAGCTTCCAGGTCACACATAAAAAGTATACATGAAAGGACACAATGCCTCCAGAATTTGTTCCTGGTTGCCCCTTGTGACTGACCTTCCTGTTTATGGACAGTTCCCAGTCTCTGGGTTCTTCATATGTCTTCATACAAAACGATGAGCCGTAGCTGAGTAGTAGCCTTCGGCTTTGTTTTCCAATGCTCCAGTCCCATTTCTTCCTCTGGCTGGTCTCCAGATGACTCTCCCTCACCTCTGGACCATCTCAGGAAGTTCCCACCAAGCTCTGCTACTCTAGGGTGGGACCATCAGTCATGCTCTCTGACAGGCATTAATCTCTCCCTTACCATCAGCTTCCATTCCTCAGGCTATACACATGATCAAATTTCTGACATTCTAAAGAAAAGTCCCTCTTGACCTTGTCTTCCCCTTAACACCCATGTCCTATGGTGTGTATGTGTGCTTTGCCTTCTGTACACTCTGATGTGTAAGTGCTGTCTCTCTCTGCTTTCTGTACCTTCCTTTTCCTCTTCAAGTTAAGCTCTTAAAAATAGATATTTTATTTGTTTACTTGAGAGGCAGAGTTACAGAAAGGAAGAGGAAAGACAGAGAGAAAGGTCTTTTAACTGTTGGTTAACTCCACAAATGGCCACAATGGCTGGAGCTGGGCCTATCCAATAACAGGAGCCAGGAGCTTTTTTCAGGTTTCCCACACAGGTGCAGGGACCTAAAGACTTGGGCCATCTTCTATTGCTTTCCCAGTTCATAGCAGAGAGCTGGATCCAAGAGGAGCAGCTGGGACATACCCAGTATGGGATGCAGGCACTACAGGCAAAGGATTAGCCTACTATGCCACAAAGACAG